TGAAGTGCTACAGGTGGTAGTGCCTCGAGAGTTAAGGGAGGCCCTGGTGCTGTTAGCACATGTGGGACCTCGGGCTGGACACCTGGTTGTTGGCCAAACTCTCGCCCGCCTGTGGGGCAACTTCTGGTGGCCTGGTATGGCCGGAGATGTCATGGAGTTGGTAAAGGGCTGCCACACCTGTCAGATGGTGGGCAAACCCAACCGGATTCCCCCTATAGCACCCCTGCATCCTATTCCCGCTGTGGATCCTTTCACCAGGGTCCAGAATCAGTTGGTGTTTGGGCACCGGGTGCGCGGTCCGTTGGACTTAGCTCGGGAAGCCTGGAGTGCTCCCCACTCGGACCGCCCCGAGTCGCCCTCGAAGAGCGAGTTAAGTACTCGGGACAGACTGGTGAAAGCGTTGGAGGTGGCTCCGCACCATCTTGGAGCTGCGCCAAAGAAGAATTGTGACTTTGCCCCAGGGGAGGAGACCACCGAGGTTTCTGGCTCGGATCTGGTGGTTCCCGCAGAGCACTGGGGGCAGTGCGGCGTGCTGCTTAGGGAGAGGCTGCAGTACCTGGAAGGAGAGCAGAAGAAGAAGTTTCACTGTCAAAGTGAAGGGGTTATCACTGGGGTGAAGCCCAGGGATAAGCGTGAAGGCTCTGTTCATTCCATCTGGAGCTCTAACCGCGACCAGATTGAGGAACCGCTGAACGTCCCCCCTACGAAACACTTTGACACTTCTGCCGAAAGACCAGAGCAGGCTCCCGAGGCATGTGTGAACGCTGCTGAAGCAGAAGTACATCCTGGGTGCACGAAGGGTCTGCTTCCTCGTGAATTCCAGTCTGAGAATTCCTATGGCCGTGGGAGAGGACATGGCCGTGGAAAAGGTGTGCTTGGTAAGAGTGCACATGGCAGGTTCTTTTTATGGACCATGCCGGGGAATAGGCCTGTTTCGTGGTCGAGAGGGCCGAGAAGATGGTGGCCGACTGCTTGTTGCGGCCCAGGGAGTCACTCTTGCTACTTAAAAATTTTGAAAGTCTGTAAGACTTCCAAAATTTTTCCTTTAAGGGTGGGCGTGTTGCGGGCCCCGCCCGTTACTGTAACATCGTCTCGGGCCGATGTTAGTCAAACACCGTGGAATGAGCTGGGTGTTCTCATGAGGAATGAGGATTCCCTGAGAGCGAGAGAGGAAGAATGTCTCGAGCCTTGTAAGAGGAGGTTTGACTAGGCTATGTCGTGTTACAGGCCCTGTCTGGGACAGTGGTGTGGTCTGGACATGATGATAGTCGGACCCAGTAGCAGGAGAGAG